GGCTGGAAAGTCATAAATAACCAAGGTAAACAAGTCAATAGAGTTAAGTGCTTTTAAAGATGATGGCTGGCATTGCTGCAAAAAGCGTCTTGATTATCTGTTGCCAACTCCATGGATTGAAACAGTTTTCCCACTGCCACAAGAAGACACAAATGAAACCCAGAAGGCCAAAATTCAGATGCTAAAAATGGGGTCACTGTAAGACACTGTGAGGGTGCAGGTTCAGAGCTAAACCTGTGCAAGGGCAGCTGAATTCACTTAACGTCCTTAAACCAAATGGATGAGATTTTTAAAGTGTGGATAAAAAAAAAAAAAAAAAAAAAAAAGAAACCTCCCCCACACCTAGCCCCAAACAGTTACACATGCCAAAACCTAAGACAGATTTTTAAAACCTTTCATTTCAAAACAGCATTCTTTAAAAATGGAACTTAATCCCAAAATAAAAAAATGTAAATAAATACCCTTATACAAACATGTATTCAGTTTTGGATTGACCATAGCCATTCTGTTTATTAATTTTACTCAAAATGCTGAATAAAAGCTATTTCAGTCTGACCTGTGCTGCTACCCTTCTTTCCCCAACCCCAAGGCCTCGACCTGGCAGCTTCAGAAAAAACATTACTTGTTTGGACTGTGGCTTCATACACTCATTTAGTCATGAGGTTTTGACATCAGTTCATGAATGCAGCATTATGTGTAGTCCCATTTACTTAAAATTTTCTTCTTTTCATGAGCAAATGGAAGTGGGCAGTTAAGGGGAAATTATTTTTATTGGACAAACTTCACCCAGCAGCTCAAGAAGGAGGAAATTTTAAAGCAGATAAGACTGCCAAATATTATTCAGTTACACTTCATCTCTAAAATTTAGAAACTTTGCTCCCCACAAGTAACAACTTCAGCAACAACAAAAAGAAACTGCTGTCCTGAATAATCCTGCCATTTCACAACTAGCCCCCAGATCCTAAGAGATCACTGCAGAGGTCTAAAGTCCAGTGTTGAGTTTCATACATACTAAGGGTACATCACTGGGCCACTGGAACACCAAACCAGTGTGGAGTATCTGCACAAAGCCAGAACTCTGGCTTGTAAATACAGAACTTAGCAGTGAATAGACTTTGTAAAGAGTGACATTTTATGCCGAAGGAGAAAAATAAAAGTTAAATACAAAAGTTCCCAGCAACAAGAAATTCTGGCATCACTAATTTCTGAACCTCTGCAAAAACAACATCAAGATACTATGTTTACCTTTACCCATTAAATATGCCTTTTTTTGCTAGATCAGTGAGTAATTTTAAATTGTTTGGGTCTGTTCCACATTTGTATGGACACAAAAATAAACAAGAAATTGGATTGTCCTTGTGCTGTGACCACATGCAGCAGAAAAGCCTCCTTTTTTTTGAATGGCTGAACTTCCAGGACAGCTGTTCACTTGTACAGTCACTTTTTTGAAAGTTATGGAAAAGAAGAGAACACCTTGTACTAAGTGGATAGTGCCTCTGATTGCCTGATGCTGGCTGGGCAGGGATTTCTTGTGCTTCCAGCCAAAGCAAAGGATGAGCTCCAGAGCAGCCCATGCTGAGCTGAAACTCATCGAGGCATGGCCTGATTGTCTGCCATGTTGGCTGCATGGGTAAGGTCCCATTGTCTCTACTCAGTATTTTCTAACTACACAGCTGAAGTACTACAGATTTAACACATGCATGGTACTAGATACAGGAAACCCCAAGCTCCTGCAGAGTTCTTATGCTTCCAAGTAGACTTCACTGAGATCAGGACTGAGGATGTGCATATCCAGCAGGAGTATGGGACAGATCCTGCTTCCCCAAGGGCAGGGTCCTTTCTTGGGCTCCCACACACAGAGGTGGAGCAAGGATGCTGCTGTCACCCTCAGGAAATGCAGCCCTCACCCTCCACACCACCAGCATATCCCCCCTGCAGGGCAGGCACACAGGTACCAGCCTGCAGACACCTTCCTGCTGCTCCCTGCTGCAGTCACCACCCTCCCTTTGGACACATTTCAGGAGTTCAGTCGTGCCTTGCTGTCACACAGCGCAGGGTTGCCCTACCCCTGGTGTGAACCCCAATGCAATTCCCATGGGAAATAAGACACCCTCTCCCAGCTGACTGTCCCAGCACTGGAACAGAGCCGTACAGAGCAGCAAAGCTCACCCTTTGGCTCTTTTTGTCTTTGGCAACAGACCATAACGATTGGTACCCTATGTGCACAGGCTGATTGCAAAGGAAAGAGCCTCTCCAACAGCAGCCCTGGGAAAGAGGAAAGAAACTTCTTACCTAGTGTATGAACAAGATTATCATTTGGGACCACTGCAAATTCCAGCAATAGCTGCAGTTTGGCTCTTAGGCCTGCACCAATTTAGCAGCATTCATCTCAAACCTTGTGGCACAGCATTAAAAGTGCAATTCCAAATACATGTTTCCTGGGATGGTACCACTTCCAAGTTCAATCCAGTACATGTCTGCTATCTGCCGCCCAAACTCCTAAACCCAATTTAACTCCAGAGGTTACTCAGGGCAAATTCAATACAGGTACTTTCACCTGTACCAAAGGAGCAGAGGGCTGGATGCTGCCAAGAAAAGTCCCAAAGAAAATACTTGTCAGAATAACAATACACATTCAATAAATAAAGCTATTATTTCCTCCTCCAAGCCAGGTGGAAGTTTAGTATGTTTACACTTGACACTGCAGCACCTTCCCCTCCTAGAGAATGGAAAAACTGCTGTACAATTCTGAAGATATGCAGCTCCTGCTGCCAATCCCAATTAGGTAACATAAATGTAGCATCTCTGTTGCCATTAGAAGAAGAGGTCCCAACCTGTCCTTGCTCTCTCTGGGCCAGCAGGAGCTGTACAAGACTCGACCCATTCACAAGTCAGCACAAACAGCAGCATCAGATGCCTGTGTAACCAAAGCACTGGATTTTCTTTCTGCTGCATCAGTAGGTCTGCACAGAGGATGGATGATGCTTGTCACCTAAGCCTTTGGATCTGGGGCAGAAAGTTTGAGCTTAGTAGTACTATCCCTACTCACTGTGTCTCACCTGTTCACTGAAGGGGCAAGGAAAAGGATTCCAACTGGCATAACAAAAAAGAAGAAGAAAACACAGAGAGGAAACACAGCCAACATTTGTGAACCAAAACGAAGTACAAAGACATGAACAGCAACTCCAGCACAATCACCAAACCACTGAGAAGCAAGATTCACAAACATTTTTGGTCCATGTTTGGTTCCACTTTTTTGGATGATGTTTAACTAGACATGGTTAATTATCCACCAGGCTTGCATTCATGACTTGAACTAGCCACTCTTTCCAGTATATGGGTTTTGCTTCACTGTATGAAAACTCTCTTGATCCCCTTGGGGTAATTCTATTTTTTCAGGAGACAGACAGGTGATTTCTTGATCAAATCCTCTCTTCTGTGTTACTTATTTTTCAGGGTAGGAACTGGATAGCATGGTGTATACCATGACAGTTGCAATGGGAAATTCTTGTTGGCACAGATACTACCTCTGGAATTATCTGAGAAACCCATTTTAAAGAAAAACAACCAAACTTGTCAAGGGCTGCTTCCAAGAAGGAATGATGAAGCCTTGCCCGAGGTTTTAGCAGAAACAGCCCCAGAGAGAGTTGCTAGAACTGGAAGAACAACATGGATAGAAACAATTCTCCCCGAGGGTGCAGTTTTGCAGTATTACATTATTCCTTCATCAGTCACACTATTACACTTTGGGGACTATTTAACAGAAGGTCACACATATGGCCTTGAAATATTAAGCAGATATGAATAATTTTGGGGTGGGATTCAAGTTTCCTAACTTCAGCCACATCAAAATTTAGAAGCCAAAATTTTCTGCAAAGGAGGACAGGCATTTCCAATGGGCACCTCTTTCTATATTAATTCTAGGGTGAACTGAGTCAGCCTTTGGAGAGCACTCTGTATTGACTGCTGTGTTCTTGCTGATCAGAACAAGACATCTGACTCTGAGCTGACTGAAGCCAGATAAGATGAACGACACTATGGATGTCCTCCTGTTCAAATATTTTCTCTTTAGATTTACTGCTCATCTCAATGTTCTCCTATTTCCCCTAGTCAAAATTAACAAAAAAAAAACCCTGAAAAGGTTTTCCTCAAGTTTAATATGATTTAGTGCTATATGCTTGTGTTCTACTTTTTTATTCTCTAAAGATCTAGCGCTGTAAACACATCAGCACTGGAGCAGCTTTACACAGAAAAACAGTATCCCTGTTTACTGGGATAAATCATGTGCCTTTCACTTTATTCTTTCAAGAAGATATTCCCAAAAGAATAATTATTTCAAGAATGCTATCTAAAATATTAAAAAGAAGAACAGGACAAACATAGCAAAAGAGTTTGTCCACCCCTGGTGACAGGGAACGATTAATACAGTACCAGTAGCTGGCCACTTTAAGGAGGAGAGGAGGCTGGGGGTCCTATGTCATTTTTTTTCCTTGTAAATAGACAGGAAATTTTCTCATTCCTTTTGTTTTTCACTCACACTCACCATTTGGTGGAGGTGAGAACTTCTGGGTTGAGGGATGTGAAATTACTTGTTGGTGTGCATCTCTCAAGTGTGAGTTCACAGTGGTTTGAAAAAACACCACTCATTTAAACATCGTATGGTTTTGGGTTATATTCCTACTGTTTCCCTCCTAAAACCAAAATGCATGATGATTCACTCAAAAGTCAGTCCCAAACACAGGAAATTTTGTGCAAATCTTTGTAAGACTAGCCTGAGTTCGGCTGTAGAACAAACCCCATTATCGTTACTGTGTCATGCCACCTGCCATCCATGAAGGTTTTCCACCACCCATTTTAATCAGCAAACCCATAACACTGACACTTACAGGAGCTCACAGAAGACCCTCCCTCCCCAAATAGCCAGGCATATGCACTGTGGTTGAGGACTGCTTTGTTTTAAAAGCCACACATTTTCCTATTTAATTGTGCTTTAAAAAAACAAAACAAAACAAAACAAAATGCCAACACCAAACAAAACAAAAAACAACTATTAAACCAACACAGAGAAGCTCCTAACAGGCTGTATGAGAAGTGAGCTGCCAAGATTTTCTGAATCCTGCAACACTTTCACATCAAGTCCTGTTATTCTGTGTGTTGGCTGGAGGTGTAGTAATACAGCATGGTGGTGTCAGCTGTCATGGTAGGAACCATTCATGTCAGACACTACAGAAAATTTAACGACATGACAGTACCTTCACAGCCCTCTGGTAGGTAAGGAAAATCTAAAAGGATCTTCCCAACCTTTCACAGTAAACACAATTGGATAATCTAGAGCACCTGCAAGCAGGGGATGAGTCCATGATGTATCTTTGCAATCAGCCAGCTAATACTGTTATTAAAACAGTTACGTTTATCAGCTCTTAAGTCTCCTGTCCGTTTTGGGCATCTCAAAGGACCATATCAGTTTGGCATTTAGCTGCCAACAGATTTAATTGATTCAGACACTGTGTTTCCTTCTCCCTTATCCTCAGCTCTTTCTAAGACACCCAAGACACCCAAGATGGGCTGAATAACCATCTCCTTCAAGAGCTGTCTGGTTCCTATTCTTTCCTAGGAGCTCAGAGGAGCTAGCAGTACAGAGACATCCTGCTCTTCCGCATGGCTTCGCTGATCAAGTACGCCGGGCTCAGTTCTGGCTCCTCAGTCATAATCGAAATGTTCTGCCACTCCCCCAGCTGGTTTGACTTTTTAATGGTGTCCACCACACACAGGGCGTACAGACAGTCATCAAAAGTGGCAGCCATCGTAAGGGGCCTCCCGTCCCAGGTCCTCCTGTCGTCCTGGTCCTCAAAGGCCTGCCGGACAGCCTGCACCATCTTAATGGTGCCCCGCAGGTAGGGGGATGGGATGTCACTGAAGGCTTTCTCCGGAAGCAAGGAGTTGCTGACTGGCGTGGAGTCCTTCAGCAGGAGCTCCCGCTGAGGAGAGCTGTTGCTCTGTCCGTAGAGATCAGTGCCTATGACAGTGAGCCGTCCTGCCGAGCCCACCACGATGATGTCCTGTTTGAACTCCCCCGGGATGTTGAAGTTGAGCGTCACTGTGCAGCACACGCCCCCTTCCAGGACCATCTGAAACGTGCAGAAGTCATCGCTGGTGATCTGCCGGATGCCCTTGATGTGGTCCGTCTGCTTCACAAAGGTCTTGAGCAGCCCGTGCACCTTCACGGCCTTCTGGCTGGTGAGGAAGGTCAGCAGGTCGATGATGTAGGTGCCCACCGAGTGCAAGCCCCCGCCTCCCATCAGGTCATCACAGCTCCAGTTGTACTTCTTGCCCAGCAGGCTCCCACTGTGGACCTGCACCTCGCACACCAGCAGCTCCCCCACGTAACCCTCCTGGATCAGCTGCTTCATCTTCACGAAAGCAGGCAGGAAGCGCAGAACGTTCCCCATGATGCTCATGAGCTTTGGGTAATAATGAGCCGCAGTCATCATCCTGAAGGCATCCAGGGGAGTCGCCGTTCGGTCACAGATGACATTTTTCCCAATGCCTGAAAAACAGTGGGAAAAAAAAATCATCAACAAAATTTTATCAATGGAGTAAGCTGAAAGCCTCAAGGCTATTCTTAAAGACCAAGCCAAGGAGAAAGACCCTTAAAAGAATAACACCATATTGAAATGTTTTCAAGGCACAGAGACCCACTCTGGCATGCTTCCAAGATACATGTAAGAATTTCTTAAGCACCACAGTGAAACTGTATTCCTTTTTATTTTCAAAATGCACTCCTGTCTAAAAAGAGCTCAAAGGTGAGGGCCTGAATCAAAAAAAGTAAGCTTCCTTCTGGGAGCAGGTATGAAACCAATCACCCACCTCAGCCATCTCACAGACATCTCTTCTCTGACAACCTGTCCATGCAGGGGCTTCTGTGAGCTGAATCTGAGGTTCAGATTCAAATCCCTGAAGGGTATGAATGACACAAGTGCTTGTATTCAGTAACTTAACACAGGTACTCTGAAAAGCCTGGCTTTGTCTTGTCAGTACTCTTGTCTCTCCCTCTTTCCTGCTCAGACTGTTTTTTAAGAGGCTCTGAGGAGAGGAGAAGTACTGGATTTGCTGCTTAATTTAAAATGAAGAAACTGCTTCTCACTTATAAAATGCCACACTATTCTGACAATGGCACTCAAGTGTTTTTGAAGCAGTTCTGCTGAAATGTCAGCAGCACATCCATGGTGCCAAGGGAGAGTCACGATTGCTCTAAAACAGGTCAAATGTAGTTGTGACAATCTGTTCCCTGGTGGAATTGTCCATATGGCACACTGCTTACTGAAGCTTGCATGACAGTCTCCTTTTATCTGGTCATCAAGGTGTGCAACTGAATGCAGTGCAGGCTAAATAATGGGCTTATTGCTGATTTCTCCTCCTCAAATGCTTTCCTTCTGTACCCACACACATATAGTGACAGAATCTCCAGTTTCCTTCTTAGTTGCATACAGACCTTTTTTTATGCTTAATGATCAGTATTAGGTGAGCTATGGAACACTTTGGATATAAGCTATGACACTAAATATGATCTTGGCCTGGAAAGCCTTGGGCTACAGCTGGGCCTGGCACTTAAAAGAGCTGAATTTGGGTCCTTGCTGATAGAGTCCAGATGAATAAATCTGGTTACTTGCTTAATCACATTGTATTTTATTATTCATTCCTGTTCCCTTCAGGTAGGTAAAAAAAATTCTCTTGGAAGAGCTGTTCCAAGTATAAAATTTTGCATGTTTTGGAGCTGTTTGGATGAAGTCATATAAATACAGACAGATGGCAGGGATCTATCTGAGCCCACTTACATGAATATTTAACAGCCTGACTGGAAGAAGAAGGGGGTCACAGTCCAAACATTCAATAACCAGCTTATACACACTGCCTATTCCCAGTCTTTGTTTGCTGCTATTTGAGTAGCTGAAACTGGAGGGAGGGAGGGCTGTCATCGTTGAAGTGGCAGTCACATCCAGTGAACAGACAAGAAGGGAAAGATCTTTCTTCAACTTACTCCTATTTACCTTCTCCTTAATCAGATAAGTAGAGACATACTCATCTTCCTCCTAAATTAGGCAAGAATCTTCTCTTCTTACTTTTCTCTCTCATCTTTACACATGGTTATTGATGACTGAGTTGACATTTTCAGCCTAACAGCACTTCTTTTCCTGCCCCTCAATAATATTTTGCTGCATCTATTTGATACTGGAGAAATTCTGCATTCATCCACCTGCCCTATATTCCTCTAACTGGTTGCTCCAGCTATGCCACTTGATACAGATCACTAATGTAATAGTCCTTGAGTTACACGGACTCTTTGTAGAGAGATTTCAATCTGGCAAATTAGTTATCAAAATAAGGGAAATCTCAGACAAAATATCCCTAGAGTCAAACCTTCCTGAAATAGCAATTTTCCCCCCAAAGAACCAATATACACTACTTCATTATCTGACCTGCTCACCACTGATCCACAAAAGCATCACGTTCTGCTCCAGTTCAGCTTGAATCATTCTGCCTCACAGACGCCTGCCACATTTTATCTGAGGTCTGTCCAGGCACTGTGTCTCAAGATATGCAGCTCTACACATGTGCTTGCTAGGAAAAGGATCTGTGTTCATGAGGAATTGCAGCCTAGGTACAATCTTTTTGTTACATGTTCCGTGCCATGCATGGTGGGGATCAGTCCTTCACCATGTGGGGCAAGGAATCCTTGGGATTGTCAACATCTGAGTATGAAATTATTATTATTAATATGAAAGAGAAGCCTATGGGTTTTTATATTCCATACATTCAAGAAAAATTGCCATTGGGATCACTGCAACTGAGGCACATGTGCAGAGGAAAGGGAAGAGCCCTAAATATTTATATGGGGACAGGGAGAAGTCGAAGTCTTAAAATTATTCCTTCCACCATTTCAACCTTTTTGGAAAGGTTGAAACCTTCTAATTTCAGCAAATCCAAAATGCAAATGTTCTGTGCATATGCTGATAATATGTGCTGTGCTCTCATCCCTGTCAGGGATTTAAACAGATTTTTTCTTGATGCCCAGAAAGCTTTTAGATGCTATTAAAGCTTGTGCAGCTCTTTCAGCATGACACTGCTCCTCAGCACTTGAGTCTGTGTGCACTACAGATCTTTGTCTCCTCCGCAGCTGCAAATCTGCAAGCAGCCACATTAGCTTCCTGGAAGCAGGGAGAGAACATGAAAGGTTTGCTTAATTCAATTTAGAGGAATACTCTGGCGTGTTTATGCAACCAGAATGATAAAAAGGTGGATCAAAACACCATTTTTCTGCTCTCTTCCCTCTGCTCCCTACTCAAAAGGAGAAGGAAGAAAAGGCACCTTCCCTTTGAGCCATTCTCTATAGCAGCATCGGGCAGAGCAGAGAGCAGTGTGCAAGGAAAATCTCCCTTCCCAACACTAAGTCTCATGGAATGGCATGCTCTGACTGCAGGTGCTGCAGGGGCTTCTCTGGGAACTGGCCCCCGTCTCCTCTAGTCTGGGGCTGTGGTCTAATCCTCTCCACTTTTGGACAAGACTCTAAGAAAGGATGAATTGTTACTGTTTGTCATTCTACCAGCATGTTTTGCTGTTTCACACGTCTTTGAAAATCGCACCACAACAGACAGCAAAACCTTAATTAATTACACAAAAGCAGGGAAGTGCAGTCAGCTTGTTTCAGCAAGAAAGTGAAATATATTTGTCCATGCTGAAAAGCAAGACAGTTGCATAAATCTCATCCTATGAAAGAATATACACCCCTTCCACCTGCATCAAGAAATCAAGTATACAGTGCTACAGTTCTCAACCAGGCAACTTCTGAGCATTGGTTTCTTGACTTCTCAGGTAAAATGAAGAAGACAAATATTTTAAATACATGTCAATCTTTCTGAGGGCTCCACACACGCTTCACCCTGGCGTCCCTGCTTGGCTGTGCTCTAGAGAGAGAGACAGGTGCCAGCCAGGCTGACACGGCATGGGATTCCTCTGACCTGGCACAGCACTGGGGAAGGCTCACTCCTGGCCAGCCCAAGTCCAAAGCTGAAGGTGGGGAACACATCTCCTAGCAAGGCTCATAAAGTGCATCCTCCAAGCCAAACTTTAACAACTTTGGGACCAGTCTGCATTTTTTTAAGAAGAACATTATTGAAGAACACTGATCTTCTCTGAAGAAGCAGATGTCTAACCAACTCTCTAGAAGCAGCTGAGAAAATAGAAAAAAATTGTCTGGGCTGTCATTGGTGCTACCATTCAAGTGAAGATCTCTCTAGCACTTTATGCTATGATTTGACTTTATGGAAGTCAATGATCTAACGGCTTGTCACCCACCTAATAGTATTTAATTCCGTCAGGAAGCCATGTGATTTCTTTGCAATCCTCAGTCTTCATTTTAAAAAAGGGAAGTCCTTATGAATTGGAGATAAGCCCAGAAGTGAGTGGCGAGTAGATATAGTCCAAGGTAGTAGTATTTACATTTTTTTCCATGTAAGTGCAGGGAAAGAGTGAGGAGCTGCAGTAAGAATTTAACTACTGACTCTGTAGTTCCTGGAATCTGCATCTCTTCATTTTACAGACGATTCAAGCCTCTTGACTACCAGCAGCCTAAGCTTCTTTGTCCCTCTATCATCTCGGTGCTGCACAGCCTAAAAGCAAGCAGAATTCCTGGGCTCAAGCATAGGGAAGGTAGAACACCTGTAACCAGCACAGGCATCATCAATTCTGAAACCTGCAACATCAGCCTTTTTTCCCCATCTGCTCTGATTGTTTCAAATATGGAAACATTTTCACATTAAAAAACCTCCAACTAATTAAAAAAAACAAGTGTCCATACTGAACTGAAGTAAGACTAGTCTTCTATCTGCTCCACATAAAACATGAGGCCCCAATACAATATTTTCTCCTCCTCCTATTCACAAGAAAATAAAAAAGGGCTCTATTTGGAGTCTGGGCATATAATCAAATCCTTCACTAGCACCAGAATGATTCATTAGTTAGCAATTGCTACCTATTACTCTTTGATAGGATGGGGGAGTGAGAGAGAGAAATGAAAAATAAGGTTTTGGTGAACTGAGCTAAGTTGGTCAGCAGAAAAATTCATTTCTAAAAGCAAAGAGGAACTGTCAACATTCAAAGGACAGTCTGAGGGTTTCAGAAAATACTGGAGTGGTAAAAGAGCATGCTTATCAGGTTGTTCAAATGGATGACTCAAAATTACTAAATTATAGTACCTTTTTCAAACATTTTTAAAAAAAGAAATTAATACAAAACTATACTCCAAATGGTAACAATCCCCATTATCATTAATAAACATACAATAAATAAATACAGGCAAGTTTTTGTTTCTCAGATTTTCACCATTGCAGCTGCTCTTGCTGCCTTTGGATCCTATGCACAATTAGAGGAAGACCTTTTCCTGGGAATTTATCGAAAACCATGGTCAAAATAAAAGGCCTAAGTCAAAAGACACTACTTCTCATTTAAATAATTGACACCCAGCAGTTTGTTCTTCTGCACATATGTACA